TTTAATATATTTATACTCTCAAAAATGTCAGCTAAATATGCGAGATATGCAACCCATACTGGGTTGCATATCTGGCAACCATGCGATAATAAACCTAATCTAATAACCATGAGGTTGTGAGCTCATACTTATATCTGGATCAATAATCACAAACACACGGTCATTATAAGAAGAGATTAACGTAGATGTGATCTAGCAAAAGTTGCCACAGCAAAAATGACCAAAATATGGAAGGACTGTCAAATTTCAAGAGCGATAAAGATGAGGTTGATCAACTGCTTAATATTCCCAATACTAACCTACGGATGTGAATCTTGAACTCTGAGACAATCGGAGAGAAGAAAGATAGACGCCACTGAAATGTTCTGTTGGCGACGAATGTTACGAATTCCTTGGACCGACCGTAGAACAAATAATTCAATTTTAAGAGAGCTAAAAGTTAGCCAACGACTCTCTAGTAAAGTCCATCTCCAACAATTAAAATATTTGGGCATGTTATGAGCGCAAACACAGAAAACATGGAAAAACTCATAATACAAGGAAAGGTAGAAGGCCGAAGATCACGAGGAAGATCCCCAACAAGATGGATAGATCAAATTACAGGAATATGCCAAAGACCTATGCATGAATTAAAGAAATGACCAGAGACAGAGATCTCTGGAGACAGAGATCTCTGGAGACGGACAATACACAACATCACGTCGACCACTACACTTCCCATGGGGGGTCAGGATTGAAGAGAGAGAGATGCAACCCAGGAAGAGTTTTTAAACTTATCTGCGAGAATATTTTTTTGATCAACCATAAAAATTTTCCACTTCAGTTTTGAGAGTCCATACTCAATTTAGTACATTTCCGCGAGAGAGCCACCTTACTTTTGTATAATAAAGTAGGTCCGTATATTCGGCTTCACCGTCCTGACATAATTCACGAAATAGCCGCGTGTTTAGTGCATGTCCCTTGATAAAATTTACAATCTTGATGACATCATGCATGACGGCTTCTAGTGTAGGTTCTAAACATGGACGTATAAAGACAGATGGACTCAGTTATTTACATAAAATTGTGAAGTCAAAATTATTTGAATATGTCACATTCTCAGCACCTCCAACTGTTGTCACGTTTTTTTATTAAAAATTCTTATTCGCGAGTCGCTGAAAATATTACTCCGTATTTTATACTCTACAGGTGCTATCAAACCAAAATAATAATTTATTGGTTATAATAATATATCTAAGTGTAATCAAAATATCAAGTGTGCACATAGTGTGCATTATCATTTAATAATAGCGTATAATAGATATCAATAAATTATTTTATATTTAGAAGCACTGAAAACTATTTATAAATGGCAACGGTTGTTTACATTTCTCTGTTTTACGGTTCTACGTCAAACTTCAAATGCTATTCCATGTTTGTTTACAACGATTGAGGAAATAAGGAAAAATTGTTTTTAGATAATTTTGGCTGTATTTTGAGTGATATTTGTGAAAAGTGAAATAAAATAAACGAAATATTTACATCCCGGTCTTTCATTTCATTTGTAAGTACATAAAATTTACATTATTTAGGATGAGGAAATGAAAAAGCGTGTTTGTTTACATTTTAATAGGCGTACCATTGGGTTTATTCATGTTCATTAATGTATTCAATAGATATAATAAAATTGTATTTTAATTTTTTTATAAAGACGTGATTTGTTAATAGTTAAATTCTCGTTTTTTTTAATTCTTTGAACGTGTTTTTATACATTATTACTAGGTACTTCCAATTTTTAAAATCTGAATAATTACCCGCGAGTAAAAATTCAAGCACGCTTATACTCATTGCGGAAGCATCACATTCTATCGAAGCTTCAAAACATTGTGTGTTAAAGGTATCTTATTGCTGTGTCCATCTATGTTTATACGTCCATGGTTCTAAATATTTGACCATAAGGGCCTGGCGATGGATCATACAGTGAATTACATCAATATTTGGGTTATTTTTTTACGAAAGCCGAAAAACCATTAATATGGCCCAGCATAGCTGGAACTCCATCCAAAGATACTGAAATACAGTTTTCCCATTTTAAACTTTGCGCATTGAAGTATTCATTTACTTTATTGTAGACATCAATTCCAGGAGATTTTAACTCAAGAGGAGAACAAAACAGCAATTCCTCTTCAAAATTATCTGCACCTTTGTAGCGAACATTAGCTGTGAATTGTTACTAAAATCAGTTGTCTGATCAAGCTGAATAGCAAAATATTTAGCCTGTTTTAATGAGAAAATAACTTGTTTCTTCACATTTTCTGCTAATATAGAAATTCGTTCTTTCACAATGCTCGCAGACAAGGGCACTGAATTCAGTTTGTTAGCTTCTTTTTGACCACACATAATCTCTGTCATTTTCACAGCAGCTGGTTTAACCAAATCTTTACCAATAGTGTATGGTTTCTTATTTCGAGCAATCAACCAGGCTACTTCAAAGCTAGCCCTTGATGCTGAAACGCTGATCAAATGTACCAAACAAGTTGCTATTCAATCTTTGTCTTTTAACAGATATTTCTAAATTTGCAAAGTATTCTCGCGGTTTCGAAGACAGGTGTGAATGCAAATTATCTAAATGATTCTTCAGTTGACTTTTTTTGAAAGAATCTGAAGTCAATACCTTCATACATACAACACACTGTGGTTTTATTGTACCATTGTCTTTTTTTGCGTAAAACCGTAATTAAGGAATTCGTCTTGATATTTTCTTTTTCTATTTGCTGCCATCTGAAGGCGACAGAAAATAATAGTTGTAAAATACTTAAATTAAATTTTCAAATTCCGACTTACCTTGATCGATATATCGATGATTAATGATTGTCAGCAACTAACTATAACTCTCTGACTCGTCAATGTATTTGTATTCTGACTGTACGGCACGGACTGAGGGACTGAGCAGGTAGCCGGGGCTCGGGGCTGTGCTTTACTGCGCAAAGATATAACTCAAGAACACTCTACTGGTGGTGAGTGCAGTGGCGTACCCAGGGGGGGGGGTTGGGGTTTAAAATTCCTCCCATGGCATATAAAAAATTTACAAAGGATAGTAGGAAAATGTAATTTATCTTTCACAAATAATACAAAAAAAATTTCGGTGCATAAAAACAGGTTTATAAAAAATCAAACTAAGATATATACTTTTTACTCACAAGTTTCATTTTTACCCCCAAAAATTTCATTTTTTACCCCATTTGGGGTAATTTACCCCGGTTCCCCGACCGCTGCTATACGATATTTGCGCTTCTATTTCCCATTATTGTACCTCAATTCTAGATAAATCGGCTTCAACATCATTCTTCCATCTTTTTCTCGGTCGGATAATTGATCTTCTACCATCTGGTCTTTTAAAAAACATTGTCTTTAACACTCTGTTATCCTCTGATCATACTACGTGACCTGCCCATCTTATTCGGGTTGCCTTGATATGTCTATGTTTTCAGTTTCATACAGAGACACCTATTTAGCATTGCGGCGTCTTCTCCAATCCCCTGTGAATTCATCTCTTTGAGGGCCAGATATTATTCTGAGAACCTTTCTTTCAAATACTAGAAGCTTATTAATTTTCTCGCTGGTTGAGAGTCAATGTTTCACTGCCATATGTAATAATTGGGCGAATAATCGACTTGTACCGTGTTAATATAGATTTTCTTTTTAGCAGCTTCGATCTTAGATATTTTTACACTTATTGTAATCATTAATTTTGAATTTAATTAAACTAATGTAAAATTTGTTATTTGCGGTATTGTACAGTCTCTTCTTTTCTACATGTTAAGTAAGAGTACTTTTCAGCTTAGCATTTAATTACAATAGTTTCCAGATTTATAAAGCTTAAAACAAAAGTCTATCTGGCATTAAAACTAATGTAGAAAAGATAACATGTTAATTACCATTTTGTACAAATTTCTAACTTTTAATATTTTCAGTAATAATTTACAATACTGTACATTTACAAAACAATACTAAAACAATTTTAAATATTATTGACTGTATCGGGAAAGTATTCAACTGAACAGTGGCCAAAAACCATTGAGATATTAGTTTGCTATATAGTTTTTTTTTATTCGCCGTAAAATGTAGAGAACTACAGTTGTAAAGTAAACAAACGCTATTTAAGGTAAGCGGTTACTAACATTTATATGTTGAAATAGAGTTAGATTTGTTCCATAAAATTGTTGAACACTATGGTTGCAGAAAGAAAGCAACCAGAAACAACAGCATTAAATGATTAAATTAAGTTCTAAGATACAAATATTTCAAATTACCACGATGATCTCCTGAGAGGGGTACAATTACTGGTGGGTTTCTGGGTAACCCCTCTCCCGGTTACGCCACTGCCTGGTTAAGTGCTGATTGTCGGAACGCGGAAGTGTAGTTGGTTTTCGAAACGGACCATCAGGAAATATAATTGGTGTAGGGGAAAAAATGTTGCCTGATCAATGCCCCAAAGAGCTGGCGAATTCTGGGGGAGTATAGCCTTGGCACGGTATGGTTGATTCTGTCTTTTAATATATTAAGAGGGTCTAAAAGGAGAACATGGTGGCATTTTTGCGAAAAGGTCAAAGATCAGTTATTCCAAAACACACTTCCAATGGCATTGGACTACTTAAAAATGCCGGCTTTTTGGACTTCCTGCAGGGCCACGCATTCAAGGAGAATTCTAATGAAATCTAGATGTAACCTGGTCCTCTGAGTTACTAGCCGTCTTTAGCCTCCACTCAGTCGTGCTCACACAATAGTGCACCTCCAAAACGGTTCTCGGAGGGGGCCTTAATTTGCACACTCTTCTTGTTTGTATCGTAAAATATTCTGTTAACGGATTATAAATTATACATGTATTCCAATAATGATTACTTACTTACTGACGTCTTTTGTAATATAGGACATAATTGGTGGTCAAAAAACATGAATAAACTTTAATTTAGATACATGAATTCCTCAGGATTTTAATGGCTTGGTTTTTTAATCTGCAGGTGCCGGTAGCGTCGTGGTTCGACGACATGAACGATTCAGAGCTGCTCGACTTGATCCCGTTCTTCGAGAAGCTCAGCAACATGGACAATGTATACACAGTGCTGTGCAACTCCAATCATCCGTACAATAACAGCGCACCAGCGCAACTCAATGGTCCTCAAAACATTAACCATGCCCTGAGAGGACCACAGACCAATCATTCTCCGGCAAAAACGTAGCGATCACTTATCATCTTTCAGTTGGTGGTTTGTTATTGATTTTGTTTAATAATTAAAGGTCGTAAGCAGGGTGAATGACAACAAAATGGTGGAAAAATGGTATTAGGCAACAGGGCTGTACAGTAGATAAATTTTCATTTACGTTTGTGAAAGTCTGGTACCGCTAAGTATTTGACAAAAGGAACGTCATCTGCCAACGTCACTTGCAGCAGTCTTCTAGAAACTACTCGAAATAAACAAAAATACTTCTCAATAGGTCATAGATCACATGCATTTTTTTTATATTTCTATATATAGCTTCTTTATAAGCAAATACATTATTGTGATGTTGGTATATGAAATTTTCTAATACGATATAAATTTATGTGTGATAGATTAGTGATTTTGTGCCAAGCTGCATTCTTTGTGCGTAAAAATCAAAAATATTTTATTTATATGACGTACTTATATGCAGGTTACTTTTAATTCATAATTATTTGACAACCAGTGATACCAATTTGTTATTATTCTAGAGGTGGACGGCGTTATTTTGGAACTATGTTATAAATAGCATATTTTCGGTATGGGTCTTGAAAATAGTCTGTATATTCTGTATATAGTTGATATCTGTTAGAAGAATCCAATAAACCGATATTTTTCTATTCCGCTATTAGAAAAAGAGCTAAATACCATTTTTCCCCCGCTCGTATTTAAAAACTATAGTCTTACCGACTGTAGACCTGTTTTTATTTTTAATTTTTTTATATAACAAAATTGTGTGGACGTGAAATTGTTTGACATTGTGTAACAATCATTTGTATAATTATGAACAAAAACGTAAAATGAAATTGAGGATTCTCATTTTAATTGTTACTTTTTTCATATTGGGACAGTTGAGGCGAGGACGTATTTTTCTATGAAAGAACTATTGATATTTTTAATACTTAGTAATGATACAGCTTACAATGAGGATTTTATTCCACAAATAGACCTATGAATTCCTGTTAGGATATGTAAGTTTAGACAAATCTAACTGATCTGTTTTAAAAAGCAGTCAAGAAATTACTTTATAGTCATCAGCAACCAACGATTAGGATGAAAGTTACCTTCAAAATGTATTACTTTGTAGTTTTTTTATGACTTGTTCGATTGATTGTGAGGCAAATGTATCAAATGTTTCAATTATTGCAGCGATCTCCATATGGTATTGCGTTGTTTTCAGATCTACCATGTATCTTTGTTTTTTAAATGACCATAAATAATCCAACTGATCCATATCAGGTGAATGTGGCGGCCACTTGATTAAACCATGTCGCCCAATCCACCATTTAGTAATATTTAAATTTCAATTCAACAACATAGTGAGGAGAAGCTCCATCCTGTTGCAATTAAACATCATCGTTGGAGATATTGCTATTGGCTAAAAACTATAGAGAATTAAATGTCCCTAAATTAAAAGATATGAAAATACTTGGGTTGGAAAATACCCGAGCCAGCTCTCGAATTATACTGCTTTGTAGCAACTCCAAATTAGTTTGACCATTTAGATTCCCTTAAGTGCATAAGGGACCAATTATTTTGTTGGATATTATTCAGATCCATACGTTCTTATGGATACTAAGTACAATTGGCTTATTGCACGTTTTCAGGTAATTGATTCGTTTTTACTTTGAATAATCATGAAAAGTCAATATTAAAACAAGTATTCCTGCAATTATACTCATCGGAATATATTGTTAGAGGATCGGGTAACATATCAAAATATAAACTAGAAACGGTTAGATTTAGGTAAGCCGTTTGAAAACAAAAGTTCCTTATATTATCGGAAAAACGAACGGTAACAACGCTAATACCATATAAAGACATATCATACTACACAACCCTTAAAAACAAATTCCATAATTATCCAATTAGCCACTTCTGAAATAATTCAAGCATTCCATACATTTGCCTGTTATTGTGTACCGAGGCCACTTGTTGATGAGTTTTTGGGGGGCATTCCCTTTAACAATAACAACAGTTCTACTTAAGATATATAGGGCCAGTGATTAATTGTATTTTACATTAATGTACGGCATTATTAATTTCGATTAAAGGTGCTTCTCCGTACTTTGGACTTTAAGCCATAAATGCAAATATTTATATTAACTTTAGTTAACAAAGAACTACATAATTCGTAGTATTTCCGCCAGTAGTCTTTGAATTTTAGATATGTATTAAGTTGCAAACATCTTTATTTTGTCCAGGTTAAGGATCTCTATGACTTGTTAAGATCAGTTTATTACAGTCTAGACCAATTTAAAAATTAGGGTACTAGGTTGGGTGAGTGGACTATACTACACATTTTTGAAAAGATCATTTTGTGTCTTTGTGTCTTTTAATAAACAAATTATTCACAAGTAATAATCAACCTGTTAACAATAATATAGCTGCTACTTGGTGCTTATTTATATATTACTCGTGTTTGTATTTTGATTGTACAAACCTCCAAGTAATTGTTATAAGAGTATCAGCATGTGTATTGTTTAATCGAGTCAACAAAGATGTCTATTGAAACCAAATTTCTAAAGATTTACTTCACTACTCACTCATAGGATCTATTTGTTGTGAATCTAATTGTTAGCTGTCAGTAGTCGATAACTGTCAAAGGTTATATCATTTTTGATGGACTGAACAACATTAAAAAGGTTTTCACGTCAGAACTCTCAAGATTTTTGATATAGTACCAATGTTTGTAAAATTAGTGGCCTTTGTGTTGTCAAGACGCTGATCATATTGAATTTTATACGAGTTTTTTCCGAAAGATGACGCCACGACGCAGGAGAGGTGGCGCCATCTGACGACATATCAATTGAAACAATTTTGATATTCTATTGAATGGCAAAAAAGTAACTGAATCAATTTTAAGAGACTTTGACAATGGTAGGTGGGGGTTTTCTGCCTACATGAGAATGTAGTAGATTTGTATACAAGTTTTTTGTTATTTTGTTATATTGATTATGCACAGGTAATGCCATAGTAACGGGAACATTTTTATTTGAAGGTAGTGATCGGTTTTTGTATTAGCTTTTGTATAATTTTATCCCAATGAAGTTTGAATACCAGTTGTAGTCTTTTATTTTTGACATACTACCAAATATTAAATATTTTATTTATGATATATTAATTAGTAGTATTCTAGAATTTATACTTGTTTACAAAACGTTGTGTTCATAACACAGAAAAAGTTTACTTTGACTACATAAAACAAGGTTTTCGAAAAGCAATTTTTATTTTACCAAATATTTGTTTCTTGTCATCTACGCTCTACTACGCTTTCAACAATAATTCTTATATTACATTTATGAAGTTTAGTAATGCATTTATGTCTCTGATTCAATTGCAAATAACCAGAGGAAATTCTTCAAGGCGAAAAAGACGATTAAGATATAACTTGTGACATCGTTAAATACATTAATTTCTTTCGTTTTTGTTTTACTTTATGATCAGTTCTGAATTTTAGTCTCTACGACATCGACTTTTCATTCTTTCCATTATTTACAAGGCATTTTTAATCGTTTTAGGTCATTAGTAAAAATATTTTTACATATATCCTCCATTCATCTCTTTTGTAAATTTCCCTTCTTTACAATCCGGAGTCTTCTACGATAGGTTTCTTATATTTCTACATATATTTGTGCTTTGTATATTTTCACAGAGGTTTTCGATAACTGATGATTGCTTGGGAGTCGCCACATGCATTTTCTCTTTTCATGTCAGCTTTTGAGTATTTTGAGATCATTTTCATTTGTTATACTTTTCAAATCTGTTCTCATCTGCATATCTTCAAAACGTTCCCATCACACGTTTCATTTTTTTTCACGAAACCGGCAGGTTTATTATGACTACATCGAGCTTTTGAACCATTTCTGGAGTAATCTTTAGAACTCGGTCTTCTCACAAGCTCAATTTTTTTATCCTTCAATTTATATCTCAAGCACTACTATGACTGAGGTCAGATGGAGAACTAGTAAGATAGTAAGAATCTTAAGTATAATGTAAGTTTATAAATATCCATAGTTTTCGAGTCTTTTCATGAGTTTTATAAAAGTTCTTGGCATATAGTGAAAACAATAATTTATGTTTTCAAAGAAGTGTTGTTTCCCATCATAAAAATATCTGTGGGTAGGTGCATTATCCTGTTGGAAAAGGTTTTTTTTTCTTCTTAAAGCCGGGTACGCTTTTATGAATGCTTGCGATTAGTTTTATTAGAAATTGGGACTAGTATTCACCAGTTACGGTTTTACCTTTTTCAAGATATTCAAACAGCAAAATTCATTTTGTGTCGCAAAAACACCAACGACTTGGTTTCGAGACTGCTGTTTCTGGTAAGTAGTGGTGCATCCATATTTCATCCATTCTACCACTACTTTAAACGACTGCCTACAGTTAATTGTCACATATGACTTGCAATATTACATGAAGTCTACAAACGTGAGGAAAACAATTACGGGACACGGAGAATCTTAGTAGTATATAATGTTTTTAATTCGAATAAAGATGTTCTCATTTATTGTGCTGTTAATCTGACATTCTAATATACCGGGCATTTAAAGAATATACTGTTTTATGTACATTTTTTGAATGTTCATTAGTCAAAGGTTTGTTCAAGAGTTTAGTTAAAAAGTAGATTACACCAATTTTATAGAGGAAGGTACCCCGGATAGTAAGTAGTTGTATCTAATTTTTGTATGTGTAATATTTGATTGTATGGTATAGGTCCCAAAATATGTCATTGTATTGCTCAGTGTTTTTTCGACGAACCGAAAGAAGATATGTACCTTTTACTCTTAGTATATAATAAAAAATAATGAGTTCGGGGTATTTTCCTTCGAATTATTTTAGTCAATTCACAAGACAAGACATAATTAAATTATTCTTTTTAAGTTTGCTAAAAGTTAACAACATGCTGTAAACTAATGAAATTATTATTGTATTGTATATAAATATTATTGTATTATTATATTAACTATGTATAACTTACAACTGTAAATACACAGAATTTATTTATATGATTTCGTTTATTTTTGAGGCGAACCTTTTTAAGTACTTTAAGGGTGGGAAAAAAGAAAATGGCACTGTTGCTTGTAACGGAAGTTAGTTCGTAGTGGATGAACACCGCGTGTTGGCAGTGTAGTAAAAGGAGTGTGACATTGAACAGACCAGTTAACAACATAATAAAAGGTAGAAGGAAGGTAGCAATAGATTACGTTGCTGAATAAAACTTGATATGACACTATCTTTCTTTGTGATATTGCATAAAAAGGATGATAGAGCAACTTAACACTCAAAACGTATTAATGTATCGGACTGTACAGAGGAACAGTGGAAGATAATGTTAATAATATTGGTCGAAAATCACATTAAGGTAGTATACAAATTAGAATCCTAAAAAATGCATAATTAAAAAAAAATCTCACCTACTTTATTAGATACGAACATGAAATTTTTAAATATTATTTGAGGACCCTAGAAGTAAAGGGGTATAAATGACATTTTTGTAAATATTGAGAAACCTGCATCCCTGAACTGGAAATCTTTCATTCGATTTGGAGGTAAAAAGATCTAAGCGATAAGTCTTAACAAGTGCTGCTGTCTAGCGACAAGTTACTTAGCCCCCAAGCCAACTATGAGTAGGGCTTGAAAGAGAAGAGATAAACAATCGCACTGTTCCACTGTGTCCGAGTGTTAGTTGAGGTTGTTATCATTTTGAATGGGTAGTGGTATAGTTGCTAAGTAATACTTTAATGTAAACTACTGCGTTTCCATTATCATCATCATCATCTTGGTGCTACAGCCCTTAGAGTGCCTCGACCTTCTCAAGCTTTCTACGCCATTCTGTTCTGTCCCTTGCTTGCATTTTCCAGTTGCCGACTCCGATCTTCTCGGCAGTTTTTATTAACGCAGAACTGCTGCGTTTTACGTTAGTATAAACCACAGTGTTTTTAACCCTTTGCGGATGGAGTTAATTATTCTGAAATTTTTTCGGTTTTATTTTGAATAACTAATGCAAATAAAGATAACAAATTATATTTTATGTGAAACTTTTATTTTTGTTTATTATATACCAAAAAACAGGTGGTGCTTATACGAGACTACTAGGGAATGACAACAATACATTACAATAGAAAAAAGAAGTAAAAAAGTACCTACTTGACATGTCGAGCAATTCTTTCTAGTTGTATGGGGTTCTGCTTTCGTGCTGCAATTTGCACATCGAATCTTTGTGCCATAGACTGGCATATTGTGCAGTCTTATCAAACCGTTTTTCATAAGGAACTACAGGTTTATATCTACTAGGAATGACTTAAGTACTCTTTCTTTCTCTGTATGGTAGTTTTGGATTAGCCCTAATTAATCCAGTAACTACTGCACTGTACAACAAGTTTTACCTTCATTGAATCGTTATTTGAATAATACAAAATCATTGACAGCACCTAAATTTAAGAAATGCAAAAATAACCTGTGCCACGATTTGTTAGATTTTCTGTCCACTCTATAGCTTGCGACAAGTTGATCAGATTTACCGACAAAATTCATATATTTTTTATAATCCCTGTCTAAATTGATTCATGTAATATCCACAGAAGTCCCCATATTTCCCTTCGATTTACTGTACATAAATCGTCGGGATTGTGAAAGTTGCTAACAAAACAAATAAGTTTTGTATCTTTCCATTGCAAATACAACAGCCTTTCTTTACTCATTCGCCAGTCGGTATCGCCTATATTAATTTAAGGCCCTAAGCTCGATTTTCGCCCTTTTCTTACAGTACCACATACATATATACGTTCATTTAGTAAATCTTGCTGTAGTTCTACGTCATTAAAACAAGTATCAAAATATAATCTAGGATGTATACAAGAGAACGGGTAAGACCTTTCACGATACGGGATCCAAGATTAGTTTTAGCTTCGTCAACCTTTCCGGTATAAATTTGAAACTGTGACACATATCCTGACTGGTCTGCTCGTATACAAATTTTGTATTCGCGTGTGATCGCCTTTTGTGGCATGCATTTACGAAATCCTATTCGTCCTTTGAATTTTACTATTGATTCATCAATGGCTTGATTTTGGGGCAGCAAATAACACTTAAGGAATGTTTCAGATAAAAGTCTATCAACGGTCGTATTTTCTACAGTTTATCGAATCCTGCTTCACTTTTTAGGTTGAATGGAATTATCATTTATGTGCAAATTTGCCAGTAACCAACTGAATCGGTCACGAGAAGTGCAAGACGAGATTAACGGATCTCTCATTTCAAATTTTGCAGACCAATAGTCTTTGTAAGAACATTTACGTGTTAGCCCCATCATAAGCTTAACCTTAGAGATACATTTCAATTCATCATATTATGTAGTTGGAATATCTTCTTATGGTGCCCTATCCAATTAGTGGACGTTGGCGACAATTCTGGCATACTCCTCTCGATCTTGTGTGGCTCTAAAGAGTGCATGGGCATCGAGGTTTGTCCGTCCAATTCCTTATGTTTTTAAGCCATGAGTATTTCTTTCTTCCGATGCCCTGTTTTTCCTTCTATCTTCCCTTCCATAATAAGCTTTAACAGGTTGACTGCCACAAAAAAATGTTTAAAAGAGTCCATGGTGCCAAGTTGAAAAAAGTGCATCTGGCAACCAAATGAAATACTTCCATTACTAATATTTCACCAATTTCATTTATTACTCCCAATTTTTGAAAAAATATGTCAGCAGTCGAATACGACCGCCCCGGGCCGTAGGCCACATACTTATTCCCGTGGTGCCAAGCGGTCGTTCTGTTCATGGTGAGACTTGTGGAGTATTATTCTGCTAAGTGGTTGTTTTCACCAATATTTTATCAGTAGAGGTTTGATTGTTAGTAAGACAAGTAAGTTGATTGTGCTCGTGTTATTTTTAGAGTTAGATAATAGTAAAAACAATTATTATTTCTTGAAATAAAATGGGAATTCGCGGTAAAATGATGGTTGGTGTGGTTTTGGAAAGCAATGAACGTTCAAGTAAGATATAATTTTCATGTAATATATGAGCGTATTGGACGTATGGACGCCCATCAGGGCGTGTATTGATGAGTCTGTTATTCCTTTACAAGGTCGGTTTGTAATGAAGCAGTACATACCACAAAAGACAGGTAAGGAGAAAAATTAAAGTAACGTTTTTGTACCAACAAATCTAGTTATTAACCTATCAGAACGCCTTTTTAATTCAGGACGTACGATAGTAGCTGATAACTACTATACAAGCCTAGAGTTAGTTAACATTTTACTTAACAAGGAAACTCACTATATTGGGACGCTAAGAACAAATCGTCGTGGAAACCCAAAAGAAGCAATAAATAAAAAATTAAAAGGAGAAACCTTTGGGTTGGAAAACAAGAGAGGCATCTGCGTTTTGATGTGGAAGGATAAAAGAGATGTCTTGTTACTATCTACTAAACACACTACCGAAACTCCAGAGGAAAGTCCTCAATTAACCAGTCAGACCAGATGGCAAGTTATAATTTACCTCTACGAAAGTCACTGAAATGGTACAGGAAGCTCGCTGTGGAATTTCTTCTTCTTACATCACTCGTAAATTCTCACATTATTTTCAACCAACTAGACCAGTAAAAAGAGGAAAATAACAAAATTTAGAGAGCATGTAATAAAGTCGCTCTTAACTTCTGAAGACAACAGTGAGTCACAGAATGTTGTGAAGGGAACAACAACAAATACGAACTACAAGGAGATCGATGCAAACTCATACTTTTGTGAAAAAATAAGACTGTATAATAAAATGAAGAAATACTTCAAGGGTTGTTATAAAGAGAAGATTCTCTCTCCACACTCCAAATATCCGATAATCGTTAATTTCTTTCATGTTCTTATTAAACTTTTGTATGTCTTTTAGTTTGTAATGGATCTTTTTTACAGTTTTATATTTTTTACACGAAATAAAGATCTGTCAAAATTTCGATATTATTTAAGTCTCCCCTATTGAGCCAAAATGAAAACTGATATGTATATGCGATGACTGTATGTCACGGCGGTCGAATACTGCAATATCTCGTCTTCTCTACACGAGCTCTGACAAAACAAGAACTATATAACAGACAGTATCAAATCGGTCGTATACGACCGCCGTGGCCTGCAGTACTTATTGAACTGTCGGTCGTATACGACCGCCTGGCAGTAAACCAGTTAAGAATTGGTACTTTGAATTTCGAAATATATGACCCAGATAAGCAGTTTCTCGTCTTTTTATTATTGGCAGAAATTCTCATTCTCTGCCCATTCGATTTAATACTTCGACATTTGTTGTGTGATCTGTCCAGTTGGAATATAACGATACCCATATTGCTGTGTATCGTAATTATTGGTTTTAAAAACTATTTTCTCAAACAAATTTGTCGGGAAGAAGCACAAGAACATTTCTAGCGGTGTAGCCACATCATCGGAAACTATAATAATAACTAGGCCCTCTCTTACAGGTCCACTACTTTCTAAACTATAAAACTTGACTTTGAATTTTTGCTCAACCAAAGTCATACACCTGGGGATTATTTTTATGATGCTTTAATGACGTAATAATTCTAAATTAATATAAATTGGATCATATGGCAAGTAATACCTTGTTTGAATTATCTTGTTTCACTCTTGTTCAGGGACGCCAATATGGAAAAAAGTAGACTATTCTAATAATTTCGTCAAATTCAACTTTTATTACAGAAAACGCGCGAGCTTTCCCATGAAGTATTACTTCCACGCGATCTCATTTAAAATAATTTTACCAAATAACGCCCCTCCGCTATTTTGAATGATTAGGTCATTAATACCTAATAATTACAATATACATCTGCCTTAGTTCAGGTTTTCAAAATTCATTAAAATAAATTAAGTATTATTAACTTTACGAAGGATCCGTTGGTTGGTCATTTTCGGGTGGGTAAGGATATAATGATGATGATAGTGTGTTTTTTATGGAAACTAGTCCATTTGTCACAGATTTTTGAATGATGTATATTATATTTATGA